TGATTAGATCCCGTGCCTGCTCATCAGGTGCAGGTAGATGTACCATCTTGAGCCAGTGGCAAGGATCCCATGCCATCAATGTGCACAAAATACGGGGGTCCCCGATGCAGTATCGGATTCTTGCCATTGCAGGGTAAGCCTGGAAATTCTCGATACCGGGTAAGCAGTTTCCCAATAAAGAAACAGACATGTATTTCCAGACGTGCAATCCATGACGTCAAAGCTTGCAGGCCTATTTCAGAACTTGCGTCGTTTGCTGAGTGGACATGTGTTCTGCCATGAGGGATGTACTGCCTCGAAGGCTCGGTGTTCCGAATTTAGTTGCAACTGCTCTGCAATGTAGATCGTCAGCATGTTTCACATTTCAGACAGCACTACACCCCTTTCTAATGAGTCCCGCCTACATGAATGGGCTAGGGCTAAGGGGTTGCCCAGGTTGTGTGGGCTTCAACCTATGGCGCGCCACAGACCAAGGAATTTTGGGAAGTATAAGGGCGCCAAGACGTACCGCGAAGTGGCGCAAATCGACTCTTATGTAAAGTGGTGCCAAGGCAGAATTGCAGAAGCTTGGCAGCAAGATGCAATCTCAGCGATCCTGCGTTAAGGGCTATTGGATACACATCAGGCGGACGACATTCTTTGAGGTTATTTTGGTGTTAATAATATAGGGGTTATATTGGGATAGTGGAAAAGAAAATGGAAACTACTATTTGGGGTTTAGGATCAGTGTTAGGGATCCTTCATACTTTTGGGGGTATGGGATTCCTTCTATTTAGGTAAAAAGGATCCTTCTTTCTTACTAGGGTAATGTGCGCGAAGTCATGAACGTCAGCCTCTGCAATTGCGATCAGAATCTGACAGCGCTAGTTCCAGCAGCGGTCCTTTCCAGCTATGTTGCCTGAAAAGCTTTTAATATATGAGTTCTAAGAAGGGGAAGTGGCCAAAACACATGTAGCTCACCTCAGTTGAGCGCATTGCGACGCCGGACGCGCCGCCTTTCCAGAGAGCTTTGTGATATCTTTTTTGCTCTCCAGCTCAGGACGCACCCTATGCAAAGAAATTCCTCGCCTACGTTGACATGACAAAGAAAGTGCCCGCGAAGTCCGCGGCACGGCCGGCAGCGTGGACTTGAGATCAGCATGCTTCTAAGGAGTGTACAGCCCCTTATGATGTATCCATGTTTGCTTTAGATTCCACATGGAAGATTTATGCATGATTTATATGGGAGATGTAGGAGTTATCAAAATGCATCGTGTTTGCAAATGATCAAGGGGCCCTAGCCTTGCTCACTGGTTCTTAGTCGGGAATACGGAATATATTCTATGATCCCTATATGATATATTCCCTTGTTCCCTACTAAGAACCAGTAAATTTGGCGGTTTTGGTAAATTTCTTCTGGGTATACATTCATCGTGGCTGTACAGGCACCTCGAAAGTCAAATGGGTTCCCCTACCACCCAATCTTAGAACACAGAAAGTGGGTTTAGGGTTTAGGGTTAGGGTTTAGGGTTTAGGGAATCTTGGAAGCCTGAATAGTCACCAAGACTTTAACTGCATAGTCCTTGTATAGTTCGACTTTCCGTAAGCTCAGCGCCCAGCGTGATCACGAATTGTGATTATTCTTACGAGTGGCATGCGCATAGCTTGACATGCTAGCATGGCCAGTGCAGTTCTGCATCATAAGGTCCGAAGGCAAGCGCTACTGTACCCCTAAACCCTAGACCCTAAACCTAAAACCCTAAACTCTAAAACCCTAAACCCTAAAACCCTAAACCCTAAAACCCTAAACCCTAAAGCCTAACCCCCGTTTTCGAGGAGCTCTGCCAAGCATCTAATGATTGAGGCCTCCGGCGCCAGCAAACGCGCAGCCCCCACTTTGCGGGGCCAGGCATTCGTTTGGTGCACGGAGGGTTTAGGGCAATCCCGTGTCTTCACAATACATCATAACACCAAACAAGGCCTCCAACAGCTGTCCACTTCAGTCTGCAACATGTTGGTATCATTCATGGGAGGCAAATGGGGTTGCCAAACGATTCGTTATCCTTGAAATAGGTACCCCCCCGAACAGGACCCCAAATTCTGGAAACTCCAATGCAGCATTACGGCAAGGGGGAAGGTGAGAGATCACAACGTTAGACCTGCAGTGGAGAGAGCATGGTGCCTCTTTTGGACCTGTGCTCTATCACTTGCATTACCATCGCTTGTTGCTATTGTGGTTTTCAGTAACATGGCACTTTCTTCCACAACCGGAGCGTCACGATTTGGGCTTCTTGCGTCGGAGGTAAAGGCAACAGGTTCTGGGGGCGCATGCAGCCGGTGTCAGGGCTCCGGTGCGGAGTGCCCCAAACCCTCAACCCTGAACCCTAAACCCTCAAGCCGGGATAAATAGGAATTGTATTCTCGCCCGCCCATTACAAAGACCTTTCAGAAATAAACATTCAGTCAGGGCAGCCTATTTTGGGCCTTTTGAGAGAAAAAAATGGCTTTTTGCGCCTATGGTGCCAAGTTGAGCCCTTTGGAGTGAATTTCAGTTTTTGGATGCAATTGTAGCTTTTGGAACCGTTTTGAGCTTTTTGTAGCCAATTTCGGCTTTTTGGAACCACTTGAACTCTTGGGTCCATTTTGGACATTTCGGAGCCAATTTCGGCTTTTGGAACCAAAATTGAAGTTTGGAGACGTTGCCCGAGCAGGTTAGGCGAGCAGGTTGAGCGAGCAGGTTAGGCGAGCAGGTTGGGCGAGCAGGTTGGGCGAGCGCGTTGGGCAAGCGCTTTGGGCGAGCCGGTTAGAGGAGCAGGTTAGGCAAGCAGTTGGGCAAGCGCATTGGGAGAGCCGGTTAGGCGAGCAGGTTAGGTGAGCAGGTTGGGCGAGCAGGTTGGGCGAGCAGGTTGGGAGCGCGTTGGGCGAGCGCGTTGGGCGAGCGCTTTGGGCGAGCCGGTTAGAGGAGCAGGTTAGGCAAGCAGTTGGGCAAGCGCATTGGGCGAGCCGGTTAGGCGAGCAGGTTGGGCGAGCAGGGTGGCCGAGCAGGTTGGCGGAGGGTGAGCAGGTTTCGCGAGCAAAAGCAAGAACTCAAAGGGGCCATTTTTCGAACCCCAAACCCTATACAATTTCTATAAACCCTCAACCATTACCCCTAAACCAGAGGCAGCATCTCGTCGATCGACGGCGCCAGCGAGCCGGCCTCGGGAGATCAAGCCTGTGAAGCCAGCAGCATCCAGGCCTGCCATGATCAGGTTTGTAGGGTTTAGGGTTTAAGGGTTGAGGATGTAGGGTTTACGGTTTAGGGTCAAGGGTTTCGGGTCTAGGGTTCTAGGATTTAGGGTTTCGAGGTTAATTGTATAAGGGTGTATATAAGGGGCTACTGAAGGTTTAGGGGCTAGAGTTCAGGGGTTGGGGTTCAGGGTTCGATAAAAATTATAGTACAATCAGGGTTTTATGATTAGGGTCTAGGCATTGATTAGGATTCAGGGTATGATCGATGTGTAGGGGTTAGGTTTCAGTGCTTAAGAACGGTCAGCTTAACCTATAGTTTTTTAGGATTGAGTTAGGATTCGCGTGTCAGCGTTTAGGGTTTAACTAGGGTATAGGGGTTACGGCCTGAGATGTACTCAGGGCTTCGAGTTCATGATTCAGGGTTTAATCAGAGTTTCGGGGTGTTGGTTCTGGGGTTCATTAGGGTGTAGGGTATAGGAGTTAATCAGGATTGAGGGGCGATATGGTGTAGGGTTTGGCTACGATTTAGGAGGTGAGGTGGAGGTTGCGATTACGTAGTTAGGGTCCAGAGTTTTTGGAATGGAAAAGAAGATGTAGACTATTCCTCCGGTTATGGTCAGATTTCGAATGTTTCTATTAGCCCAGAGGGTTTAAAATACCCCTTTTCAATCTTATAGGTCTGTAGGGAATTGCAAATGAGAAGTTAAGAGATCTTACCTCAAGAACGAAAACAACATGCAGAAAGCAGACCCGGATCATATTTTGGCCTATAGGGTTATAAGTCAGAGGGGTTTAACGTTTTTGGGCTCGAGCCTGAGGTTTCCGGATTAAGCGTGTGGGCTTGGGTTGGAGGTTACGGGTGTGGGGCGAGTGGTTAATGGGCCTTTTCACCGAAGGTTTACGGCTTACTGTTCTTGACTTCGACATTCGCGTAAGGGCAAAGGGCTTTGGGATATGCGTTTCCGGTCCCACGATTCAGAAAGCAGGGGCATTTGGGAGGAGAAGGTCAGCGTTTAGGGTTCAGTAGGGTTAAGGGTTGAGGGAGTGAGTAGGGCCTTGGGGATTATGGGGTTTCAGGTTGTCACCGGTTGAAAATGGGATTTTCAGGCTTCAATCTGACAGTATTGATTATTGAGGCCTCTAAGTCTGCATTACATAATCCCCTTTACACCGTTATCTAAACCCAGGTAGCTGTCCATTTAATGTTCCATATTCCGTTCCAGCTGATTTTCCATTATTGCGGTAGCATCGCTATATGTACTCTTATACTCCCCTATATCATCACTATATGGCGCTTAAGGTCCCCCTTTGCAACCTCTACGTTCCCCTATCCCTCACCTCCAAACCCCAAACCTGAGCCCAGGCCCGTAATCGGGACCAAAAGCTCAAATGATGGTTCACGTCGTAATTTTCTGGAAGGTCACTTACAGAGGGTTAATTCTCCAGGGGTTATATGGGGCTTCTATAACAGGGTTTAGAAGACCCAACAATGGAGAATCAATTGCAATACAAGATGAGACATGAAAAGTCCCTATGTGCCCTAAACCCCTGAACCCTAAATAGTAGTTTCCATTTTCTTTTCCATTAGCCCAATATAACCCTTATATACCCCCTACCTTGAGGTTCGCAAGCTATCCCCAAATTGGCCAGCCCTCTCGCAGCCGGCCTTGCCGCCAAAGGGACATCCTGAAACGTAAGCCCCTATGTGCCCTAAACCCCTAAACCCTGAAT